AACCTCATAACCTAGCTGGATGTCCACTTAACTGCATCCTAGGGCAGCTACTACCATGTAGGAGACCCAAGTTAAAACTCCTCCATGCTGGAGAGACCCAGACAATTCCCACGACCATGAATAGCTGTGGGTCAGTCAGCAACGTGTTTCTCAGCAAATACACAATTTGTCTTAAAATTCAACCCATTCTACTCCATTTTGCCCCTTGCTCCCAGTGTTATTAGGCCTGCAGGAAAGCTGCACACAACACCTAAGGCCTCCAGGAAATCGCTCCACCGAAAGGTGGTGGCAGTTTGGAAACAGGAGTAACTCAAACAAGACACGGGAGACTGATGTGACCTCAAGCACCTTTGAGGAAAATGAGGCCTCACTTGCTACAATGAGCTGGCAGGAAAGGCTGTGTGCCTAAGGAGGGCAAGGTACGAATGACCTCAGGCTCAAGCAAGCAATTAAACAGTTGTGCAAATGACATAATTGGACAGTTGTTAAAAAAAAGTTAGTAACCTGTATTAGACTTGGAAGAAATAATTTGGAAAAGGCACCAGGATAATCAGTCTGCATGCAGATGGCTACAATGTTCAATTGCAGCAGCCAGGCCTGGTGGGGTGGGGTGAGGGGGAAGAGGGCAGTTACCCCCCAGCCTGGTGATTCAAAAAGGTTTGGGGCTCCTGGACGCTGATACTGGACCCTTTAAATTTCTGTTGGAGCACCAGGTAGCATGCTCTGGGTGGCCTGGAAGGGCTGGTGAGGGGAGGTGCAACAGGATCCAGGCGGTGCTGAGAGCTGGTTGCCCCTAGACCCATCCCTTCTGCCTGAGGGCCCTAAGCTTCTGGGAATGCCTTGCCCCTGGGCCCAGCAATTCTGTCAGCCCCTATGGCAGCAACCTAGTATGTACTGTAGTAAAGGCTTAGTTCAGTTCAACAAGCACTGAGTCCTGGGCCCACTGACAGAGGGTGGGCAAAGGGACCAATTGTCCTGGAGCCCAGTGATTTTAAAGAACCTGGAGGCCCTTTAAAATTGCCAGCAGAATGAGGCACTGCTTGCTCTGGACGGCTCTCAAAGCTGTCGGGGATAGGTGGGTGGGTGCTGAGTCCTCCCGGCACTAATGGGGGCTGGCTGCCCTAGTCCTCCTACATCTGCCTGAGGCCCTGTCCCTTTTGGGAGTGCAGACCTACCACACATTGCTCCACAATGTCTGGCAATCCCATCAGCTCCCCTGCTGACTCCTCTCATGTTAATACCAAGGATGTGGTGCACAAAACAATAGGGAGCCATGGCTCCTCCAACCAAAGCTAATTACCCTGGAGGGGGGGCGAGGAATTGCCTTTTGGCTGCAGAAATCCATGGGAGACACCTAGTGATTTTGTGAGACTTCTTCCTGGAGCCGAAGGGGGATGGTTGCTGCAGACATACAAGAACCAGTGGACCTGGAGTCAGAAAGTTCGTTTCCTGGAGGACATGGATTGGGATGCTGGGGGAATGGGTGTACCAAAACTGGAACCAACTTGGTCACACAGAGAGCACTCAAAGAACATGAGACGGGGGGTGGGGGGAAGGAGGGGGAATTTCCAGTCAGAAGGAGCCAATCACACCATAATCTAAATCAGGGGTTCCCAAACTTTTTGACATAGGGACCAGTAAATCCATTCACGAACTTTTGGAGGACTGGTAATGGTCATTTGCATATTTGCATATTCATTAATCAAATGATGAATATTCAAATAAGTTGTTTCTGGTCCTCCCAACACCCCCAGTGCCAGCTTTAGCAAAGCTTTTGATATGGTCACCCACAATATTCTTGCCAGCAAGTTAAGGAATATGGATTGGATAAATGGACTGTAAGACAGACAAAGCTGGTTAAACCAGGGTTTCCCAAACTTTTTACTTTAGTTGGAACCCTTTTTTTTTTCAGTTCTGCTTTTTGCAGTCCAAAAATATAAACATGTAAAAACCAGAGAAAATACCAGACATATAACATGTCTGGTATTCCTCATTAGGTAAGTTGTATTATTACTAGATGCATCAGTTTGTAGTTTCGAACTGCCTGGCTGGTAAATGTGCTCAGGCTTTTCCCAAACTTTTTACTTTAGTTGGAACCCTTTTTTTTTTCAGTTCTGCTTTTTGCAGTCCAAAAATATAAACATGTAAAAACCAGAGAAAATACCAGACATATAACATGTCTGGTATTCCTCATTAGGTAAGTTGTATTATTACTAGATGCATCAGTTTGTAGTTTCGAACTGCCTGGCTGGTAAATGTGCTCAGGCTGCATGAGTGTGTCTACCAGCCAGACAGTTCACAACTACTTGAGGGGGAGTGTG